GTGTATCTCCTTCCTTTTTCCCTCTGGCACAGAGGCACATCCCATCCTCTCCTTGTCCTTCCTCCCCCAGACAAGGAGCTGAAGATGGAGACCAGGGAGGACAAATCTCCACAGCAGAACCTCGTGGAAGAGGCCGGTTTGAGTGGCTCCACGGCGCAGGAATCGGAGGGGGAGGAAAAGCCCCGGAGATCCCGCAGGAGGAGGGGCTCCAACCCCAGCCTGGGGTGCTCTGAGGAGGGAAGACCCACCCCGTGCCGGGAAGGTGGCCGGAGCTCCGGTCTGGTGGTCCATGAGCAGCTTCAGGATGGGGAGAAGCCTCACAAGTGTTTGGAATGTGGGAAGAGCTTCGGGCGGAACTTCCACCTGATCCGCCACCAGATGATCCACACCGGGGAGAAGCCCTGTGGGTGTCCTGAGTGTGGGAAGAGCTTCAGAGACAGCTCACACCTGATCCGCCACCAGATGATCCACACTGGGGATTGGCCCTATGAGTGTGTGGAATGCGGCAAGGGCTTAAGAGACAGCTCCCACCTGATCCGCCACCAGAGGATCCACACTGGGGAGAGGCCCTTTGAGTGTGGTGAATGTGGGAAGAGCTTCAGGCAGAGCTCCTACCTGATCCGCCACCAGAGGATCCACACTGGGGAGAGGCCCTTTGAGTGTGGTGATTGTGGGAAGAGCTTCATCCAGAGCTCCAGCCTGATTGTCCACCAGAGGATCCACACTGGGAAGAGGCCCTATGAGTGCTTGGAATGTGGGAAGAGCTTCAGCCAGAGCTCCCACCTGACCTCCCACCAGAAGATCCACACTGGGGAGCGGCCTTATGAGTGTCCTGAGTGTGGGAAGAGGTTTCACACCAGCTCAGATCTCCTCATACATGAACGGATTCACACGGATGAGAGGCCCTTCCGCTGCCCTGACTGCAGGAAGGGCTTCAAGCACAACTCCAACCTCACCGCCCACCGGCGCATCCACACTGGGGAGAGGCCCTACGAGTGTCCCCAGTGTGGGAAGAGCTTCTCCTGGAGCTCATCCTTGACCCATCACCAACAGAGCCACCAGTAAGGGAAGCCTTGGGAATGCCCTGACTACAGGAAGAGCTTCATGCGCTGCTCCAACTCTATCTCCTATGTTGGGCAGAGCCCTGGTGGCTCACATTCCCGGTGACCCACATTGGGAAGACACCTGGCCAGTGGTCTCCACTTTCTCCTGGTTTCCGGGAGGCACTTGGATGAACACAAGGGCATGAACATCCATCAGTAGTCAAATCAACATTAGAAATTCATTAAGATCTGATTTCTTAGCTTTACACCTTAAAAAGATCTTGTGTGCTCTGTCCGATTGTTTCTTCTGGTGGCATCAAGCGGTGCTGGATGATCTTGGAGATGTTTTCCTATCTGAATAATTTCCATCTTTATCGCATTGAAACGTCCAGAACTGGGGTAAAAATAAATTAAGTAAAGGGATCTAAAGCGGCACCATTTTACCAGGATTTGGGGGTGAATTTGGGGTTGGTTCACAGAATTTTTTGGGAGGATTGGGCATTGTGGGGTTGCCCAGGCTGGGCAGATGGGGCTGCAATCTCATACTTGTGCTGGCAGAATGTGTCCACCTGAGCCCATCTGTTCTCCAGGAATTCTGTTTGTCTGTCCCAGTCCCTGGCCTGGGTTTTCACCATTTGGGGTGTGCCCCGCAAAGGGCCCAAATCACTGCTGAAGTGCAGCTGTTCCTGGCTGGGGATATTCCTGTCCACCAGCCTCTTCTGCTCTGTGCCATGGGGGGCTGGGACAGGGTTTGGGGGATCCTGAGGGAGCTGGGAGAGGCTTTTGTGGCTCTTGGGGCCATTTGTGGTGCAGGGAGAGGGATTGGAGGGCTTCTGTGGCAGTTTGTGAGGGGGTTTTGGAGGTAGTGGCCGAGCTGTGTGGCTTGGAGAGAATTTGGGGGAGATGGAAAGGGGTGTTGGTGGTTCTTGGGACCATTTATATTGCAAGAAGAATGGAATGTAAGCTCATGGATCAAATCTATTACTGAGAGTCTGATAATGCTACTGATTGTGTTCTTAGCAATCTGGTTAATCTGTGCAGTTCTGAAAGGAGAGATAAAGAAAAGAGTATCCTGGAACCAGAAGATAATAAAGGCACTGACACGGGACAGAGATCCACATCCGCATTTGTCATCTCCAAGTCCTCCAGAGTGTAACAACGTTTACGACAACTGTGGATTCAAAGATGAACATCAGGTATAAACTCAGAAGAAAAGGACTGTATACAGTGAAAGCATTACACTTATGATAGTAAAGTGAAATACTTTCAAAGGGGGGAAATACGTTACTATGGGATTAGATGTTTCTGAAAATGTTTCTTAAAATAATGTAGAAGTAGGCCACAATAATGCTTGATATTAGGGATGGTCTAGGAAGCTGAAATGTTTATGGTAACGGGAACTGGTATTTGGGAGTCTCAAAGATACCCACCCAGAGATAAGGTTCGTACATGTTTGTACAAGGATGAGCTAACTCTCATGAAGCAATATCGATAAAGTTAATGAAACAATATTAATGAAGAAATATTGATAAGGTTGTTATAGTGATTACTGCTACAGCTGAAATTGTATAAATATGTGCATTTTGGACAAAGACGATGGAGCTAGATTTGGGTTGCTGGTATCCCTGGTTTCCGCGCGCTTCAATAAAGCACCTACATATAATCAATCTGTGATTATGTGTGTTCCTGAACGCTAACACTGAGAGGAATAGAGGTGGGCAGCCAATGGGATCTGTGTGAGTTCCTGTGTAGAAATGCTTTTTCTCCAAATTATCCTTAAATAACATTATCTAAAGCCATTTCCATTGGGTGGGTGCAACTGGGAGTGCTCAAAGCCCTGGAAAGCTGACCCATTGATCACTGGGGAAAAGGAAGAGGAGGAAGTGTTGGTTTTACAAACCGATTGTGTGGCTGTATTTTGAAACATGATATTCTGGTATTGTAAAACTGGATTATTTTGGTATTTTGGAACTCGGTAGTCTAGTATTTTGAAACTGGGTTACTTTGGTATTATACCACATGTAATAAATGTAATTGATTTGTGCTACCTAAATTGTAACTATTATTAAAGTTATTGGAAGCAATCAAATGACAGGGCAGATGCACCCCTTTACAGATGTTGCATGTTGGGATTGAGGTACAGGATGTAGTTTGGATGATGGGTGATGTCCCGGGACAAGGGTGGCCTTGGGATGGACAAGGTTGAAGCGACTTTAGGGATTGGGCATAAAGATAAGTAAATGTGGGACTGATTGGTGGACTTGCATAACACAACGCTTAGTACTCATGCGCAAACCTGTAAGGTTATCCAAAGGACGAGGAGGAAGAGGAGAAGCCTTTGCCAAAAGACCACGGAAAGAAGATTGAAGACCCCCTAACAACGAGTGAAGCACGCGCCGTGAAGAATAGTGGCGTAAAATTGGAAACGCCGGAAATAGGAGGAAATTTATGGGAAACATTAATGAGTACGTATAAGTGCGCAGTATATAAGTTTAGCTTAAAGTGCTTTGTTTTGTACGTGAGTCAGGGTGGGAAGCCTCCGTACCCAGGTCGGTTTTGTACGTGAGGTGGGTAACAAGCCCTCCCCATACCCCAGTCGGTTTTGCTTATGCTTTAATCATACTTAATTACTGGCACATTATATATATAAATTGTAAGTTTTACTAAATTGTATTCTTTTACTAAACTGTATTGATTTATACCAAATTACTATTCAATTTACTAAATTTATTCATTTTTAATTGAACTGTTATTAACTCAAGGGACCTAGTTGTCAAAATTCTAATTTCATTTGTAACACAACAGCTGCCTGGATACAGCCTGGAACAGTGCCGCTAAAGCCGACTGGCCAAAAATCTCGGATATGCGAGGCAGACACATGTGTGCTTTGCGTGAAAAGAGGATTGTGAGGCGGGGCTAGGTCGGCAAATACGGATATTCGAGGCGCGGGTGGTGACACCCGAAGCCTATGACACTCGGGCAAGAGGAGCTACGATGACGTCAAGCCGTGCGGAGGGCCTGTAACACGGCACATCGACTTCCTGCCGCTCTCCTCCGGCATCTGCGGCCCCGCCCGGACCGAGACCGGACGCGCCGTGACGCCACTGCCGGAAGCGCCTCCCTGCGATCGCTGCCCGAAGCTCCCGCGGGCGCTCGGTGCTGGTGCCGGCCATGAGCAAGCGGAAAGCTCCCCAGGAGAGCCCCAACGAGGGCATCACCGATTTCCTCACCGGTAGGTGTGGGCGCTCTGTCGGTTCCGTGGGTGGGCAGGGCCGCGCGGCACGGCTGCTCTCACCGCGGTTCTCTTGCAGAGCTGGCCAACTACGAGCGCAACGTGAACCGGGCCATCCACAAGTACAACGCGTACAGGTACCGCCTCCCTCCCGCCGCGCCGCCGTCCCGGGCCCCGGCCCATTCGGGCGCTGACCCAGGCTGTTCCGCAGGAAAGCGGCCTCGGTCATTTCTCGGTATCCGAGCAAGATACAGAGCGGGGCGGAAGCCAAGAAGCTGGTAGGTGCTCGTGCCCGGGTGGCCGGCGGGAGAATCTGGGACAGTCGGAGCGGGGACGAGGTGCCGGAGGTTCCTGGGAAGCGTGGGTGCAGCCCCGCTTCTACCAGCGCCTCTTTCCGGTACCCGAGTCGGAGTTCGGGGACGGGGACAAGGTGTGGCCACTGTGGGGGGTGTCAGAGCTGGAACTGGGCATGCCGTCTGAGTCTCGGCCTGTAAAAATATCTTTCCCCTTTGCTCTCTTACTCCTTTGTTAATTTAGAGATCTTGAGCAGTAAGAATCAAAGCCTTGTTCAAACTTGCTCCTTCGGGGAAACTTGATACAGCCCTTGTGTTACAGTGTTTATGCCGTTTATATTGTACCCTTGAATTCTTGTGCTCTTTTATGGTCCAATATTTTACTGTAGTCTTAGGCGTCCCATAGTTCTTTCTGGACTCTAAATTGTAGGGAGTTTTCCTCGCTTCCCACACAGAATGACTTTAAGTCATTGAAATTAACTTGTTTGTATTCACCCCCCCAATATTTAGGATGGAGTAGGTGCTAAAATAGCTGAAAAGATAGATGAGTTCTTGTCCACTGGAAAACTACGCAAGTTGGAAAAGGTGGGTTTCTTTCTCTTGTTTTGTGTTTCTCAATAGTTGTTTTTCTCGATGACCTGCTTGCTTTGCACAATTCTGTTGTTGTCCCTAGAGAGTCTTAGGAGTGGTGAATACAAGAGTGTATGGTAAATAGAAATCAAAGATTGAGAGGCTTAGCCAAAGCCAGAAAACTGTCTAGTTATGAAAATATTTTAGCTTACATAATCAGCATGTGGAGGTCTTCTGTCAGAAGTAGAATTCTGTTACTGGCTGATGAGTTTCATGCTTTAGGCCTGCTGTTTGCTAGTTGGGCGGTTTTCAGGCTAGTTATGTGTGGCATTATTATGATATGCCATACTACCCTTGGTATTATTTTGCAGTGACTTATAGTGAACATTCAAACCAGAGTCTGACTAAGCTGTTTTGTCTTCTCAAGGCTTCTTTTTGTTTGTTTATTGCAAATGGAGTAAAGAAGGATTTGGTGCATTGCTTTGTTTTTGTAGATTCGACAAGATGATACAAGTGCTTCCATCAATCTCCTGACACGAGTCACTGGCATTGGGTAAAAGTTTCTTGGGCTTTTTTTGGTTGGGTTTTTTTCTCTTCTCCTGTTCATTTGATAGACTTAGGACCAGTATGTGGGTGATTGCACATAATGAAGAGAATGAGCCTGAGCTCTTGATGTAATGTCTACACTGATACACTGTAGTCGTAATTACAGGATCGAATGAGACAAAAGGATATAGAATCATGAACTATGGATTTTGTGGTACAGGAATGGAAGTGGGACGCTCCTGTGTGCCAGCTGAGAGGGGAAGGAGAGAGATGCAGGTCAAGAATGGAACTGTGAAAGTCTGACAAAAGTGGAAGTGAGACTCTGGCCTCGGGGTTTTTGTAAAAGGAGAAGTAGGGCCTTGAAGCACGCAACAAAACAAAAACAAGCAAACAAAAAGCCCATCGGAACACTGCTGCAGTGTTACCATGCATTTGGTATTATTGTGTGAAGCAATATTGCCTGTTTGGTGTGATTTATTTAATTTTTTACAATTATACATCAGCATATAGTTTTATCAGTGCTAAAAAATGTGCAGGCCAACCTTTGGATCTCTGCTGACCAAAAGCATAAACTGAAAATGCGTATGCTGGAAAGATGTAAGTGTCACAAGCTGCTTCAGTCTTGGCCTATAAAAACCTACACAGTTATAAATAATTTGAATGTCCTGTTCAGTGCTGTAAGATTCTTACTGTTCCTGATGTCAGGTTCCTTGTCTCTTTGCAGTCCTGCTGCTGCTAGGAAGTTTGTCAAGGAAGGAATTAAGACTTTAGAAGGTAAGTGTAAATATGGGGCCTCGATTCGCATTCCAGTAATCTTTTTTTCTGTCAAGCTGTCTTTTCTACGGTGGTACTGTGGTAGCATGCCCTAGGCTTTGAGAAAGGTGTGTAAGATTATAAAGCTAGTACACAGGCTTAAGGCATTTCATACATATCCGAAGTAAAGTACGTGCAGGTTACATGGATGGTAACAAGGATTTTGGCTCTTTGGTGGTCTGTTAAGTTTTTATCAGAAGTGCTCTGTGCATTTGTGGTTATCCTATCAGCTGTTATGTATGTAGTTTGAAATTCCCTCCTTTGAGGTTATATTCTCATTACATATCCTATACATGTGTCATCTTTGCATTGGTAGAAACTAACTGTAAGATTTTTAGTCCTCAGTTAACTATTTTGTTTGGATATTTTTTTCTAGATCTAAGAAAAATTGAACACAAGCTGACCCATCACCAGCGAATTGGGCTGAAGTAAGCTTTCTCGGGTACAAGTGCTCGGTGTTTTTAATGACTCCTTCAGACACCAGGATGTAATGTCAGGTTACACAGGCTGAGTAAGATTCTCTTCTCCCTATGCTCTCCATGCTTTTCAGCAGTTATTTAGAGCTCTTGTTTCACTGGGTCTTAGTCTGCATTCATAGGGAAGTTAATATCAAGTGACTTCCTCAGTTAGCTCATGGAGAATCACTTTAGTGAGGTTATGGTGTTGTTTCTTCACAATCTGCAGAGGAGTGGCCCAGGCTTTTTTTTTAATGTGCTGTGAACGAGGTAAGACCTTTGAATGTCTGAACTTGAGAATGCTGCACGGAATGTGTGTTTATCCCTCTGTATTCATCAGCTTGACTGCTGCTTGTTGAGTGTCTGTTGTGGTGGTTCTGGAAGAGCTGTAGCTGTGTTTGTCAGAAGCTGCAAGTGAACCTTGCTGAAATAAAGCAAAATGGTATTTCACTTGCCCTCTTTTTCTCCACAGTCAAGCAACATTATGACAATCTGAATTTTACAGTGGAAGCCAAATATATCTGGAGATGTATTTGAGTTGCGAGCTTCCATTTAGCTTCTTCCGACATAGATCATCTCTGACCATGGGCAAGGGACCTGTTCCTCCTGCTTGCTGGAGGGCTGAGATTTGTCAGGAGCCTTTTGTATTTTCAGAGAGCTATGTAAATATTAAGCAATTGGTTATATGACAATACTCCCACCTCATAGCAGCTCTTTGTATACAGTGGAAATACTGAAACCATGTTCTGAGCATGGTTAGACTCGCAGTTGTGAGTTTTTACTGTCGCCTTGCAAGATGTTTTCTAAGATGTTTGATGAGACTCAGGAGCTTGTTGTGATGTGACAGTAGTGTAAGTTAGTACTCTTACCTCTGATAAACATTTAATTGACTAAAATTTTAAGATGCTGCCCCTGCCACTCTTTCAGATACTTCTATTTTTATATTTGCAGATACTTCGAAGATTTTGAGAAAAGAATCCCAAGGGAAGAAATGCTGCAAATGCAGGTAAGAATTGCTTTGTTAAGAATGTGAGGTACTAATTGCCAGTGAATGACTGACACCTCTAAACACGCTTGTTTCCTTTTTACATAGGAAATTGTGCTGAAAGAGATAAAGAAGCTGGATGCAAACTATATTGCTACAGTCTGTGGCAGTTTTAGGCGAGGTTGGTAGTCTGTGATCTTGTTATCTTTATTTTGGGATAGAGTAAACAAGGCGAGTTACTATGTATATTGTTCTTCTTGGCAGAGTCTGTGCTGGAACCTGGCCTTTCCCGTTAATATTGTTTTGACTAGCTAGTTCAGTGATGAGACACCCACATAAATCCTTGCTTCTCCACCCTTCCCCCATAAAGAGTAGGCTGTTGTAATGTGATTTGCTTTGTTTTTGAATTAACAACATCTGTGCTTCATTGCTATAGAGTACAGCAAGAAAATTTTGGATATTTTCTTAGCTATGTGGAATATAAAGTTTTTGATGAAAAAACAAGATTCTTTTACTTTAAGTTGTTTTTTTTGTTGTTGTTTTGGTATTATTTCCAATAGCAACCATTTTCTGCTAGAAAAATGTGTTTACAGGAAGAGGTAAGGCATATGTTTACCACCATTAGTATACTTCGCCACACACAGAAGGGTTTTTCTTCGCTTCTTTCTTGCCTAGGTGCAGAGTCAAGTGGCGATATGGATGTTCTCCTAACCCATCCCAGTTTCACATCTGAATCATCCAAACAGGTGTGTTTCTCAGATGCTGTGGATCAGTACTGTACATTGCATATAGTCTCAGACTTGTATTGCAGCTGTTCTGTGGTCTTGTATTTACTGTAATGTTAAACTTTTCTCTTGGATCATGATGTTTATTACAGTACTTTTCACTTCCGTGTATTATGTTGTGTTTCTCTTGCAGAACTAGTGAATGCGCTTATTTTTACCCTTCTGTCCTTCTTCTTTCTGTCACACATACTCCCCCACCCCCTTTTCATCTGCTTTTATAATGCAGAACTGTAAAGCTAGCTGGATTAAAGGTAGACTGAGTATCTTTTTATGTAGGCATAATCATTTAGATGATAGGAAACTTGTGCTGCCCTTGTAATCTTTTGGGATTAAGTCTGAAGGTAGTATTAATGACAGTGGTTTTGGGGTTTTTTTTTGTGTTCCTTCTATAGGTTCATTGCTTAAAAGCTGGATTAGATTTGTCATTTCCAACTAAAGGCAATCTCACGTGGGGGTATTGGTGGAAATTGTTTTCATGTTACACAACTGTAATTTTATTAGCTTTTTTCCAGTATTATTGTTACTTTTCTTTCTGTTTGGATCAAATTTCATGTAGAACAGTACATATAATAATGATGATGTTCTGCACTTATAGGAGCCTCTATCTAGTAAATAGTTAAGATATTCTTGTTATTTGTGAAGTAATTTTTTCTTCTTTGTTATCATTGTTCCTAGTCAAAACTTTTGCATCAGGTTGTAGAACAACTGGAAAAAGTCCACTTTGTCACAGATATGCTGTCTAAAGGTGACACAAAATTCATGGTAAGAGTTTTTTGGGTGGTGAAGGGTGTTGTGGGGGGATTACTTTTCCTGACAGAAGCTAGGATGAATACAAGATATATTACTTGGACTACTGGAATTGGGGATGGGGGGTGATGTATGCTTGTTTTTTTAATTCTCTTGCTTGCACCTCACAAGAATTTCCTGCAGTTATCTCTTAGGGAATACCTTATGGTAAGATTTCAGTATTAGAAAATGTACAGATATTTGTGTGTTGCTGTTGGACATGATGTAGAAGTGTGGGTTCTATGTAGCACACCAGAATGAGTTGCTGGGAAAGGCCTTTATTTTCTGAACTTTTCAGCCTTTTATAGGGTTTTACGCTACATGTTTAACATGATTGGTAAACGGAACACCATTGGTGGGACAAGAGACAAACACACTAACCACAGCTGTACAGAACTGTTTTGAGAAAGTGGTTTACAAAGATAGTTCTTGAGTGAGAGACGCTCCCAAGACACTTTCCTCTGGGAGCAGACCAGCCACTGACAGGCTGTAATTCTCTCAGGCTCAGAGGAGTCAGGTCCACATTTGTGTAGTTCTGAACTCTGCTGACATAACCATCTTCACATAATGTCAGTTGCATCTATATTGCTGGATGTTTCCTGGAACCTCAGCACGACATCACTTCGTCAGTTGCACCAGTGACCACTTCTGTAATTGTGTCCTCAGGATCTTGAAAACATTTAGCTTTGATCTCAGAACTATGTTTACCTGATTTTGTCTAATACATAATATACTTTTGTCTCCTTTTGTGTCAGTTTTGCTGCAGAACATATTTAATGGATAAGGTACTAGGCTTAGGATATAATAGGGATTATGTGGGATGCCTAAAGAAAGTAATGAATTGCAAGAACATTAATTTTTTTAGATCCCATGCTGACAGTGCAGGGCTTTTTTTCTTTTCTTAACCTGCATGCTGAAAATATGCCCGATAATAATTACGACAAGGAAATGAGGAGTCCCATAATCCTTCCTGGTGCAGTAAGAATTTAAGAAACAGCCATATGCTACACTGAACAGCAGTTCTCATAACAGTGTAAAATAGTGATTCACTGTATTCTGATATCTGGCTCTTCTAGTAAAATATTTATTCAATTCAGCAGGGTTTTAACTTTGCTTTCCAGGATGGCTGAGTATTATTTAGAGGTTGTTTAGGGCTGGGGAGATAAAGATGATTCTCAAATCTGTTTTAATTTAATTTGAATCTTTCACTTGCCTCATAGGGTGTCTGTCAGCTGCCAGATAAAGAAGATGGAACTGCCTGTCCACATCGGAGAATTGATATCCGGTACACGCACCAAAATCCCCAACCCAAATCCGTAGTTTAGCTGTCTGCTACCGAGTAGTCATTTGCATAAATTTTTGCATTCAAATCTCTACTTCCATGTTCAGAACATGGCATTTACTAGGTTTCTAATGCCTTTGCAGTGTGGCAGACACTGGACAGCTGCCAGTAGCTACAACAGGTTATTAGCAGTAATGCTGTGCTTCAAATCCTGATATTCTATTCAGATTCAGAATTGTGTCCTATTTTATCATCCTGCTTTGACATTGATTCTCAGCAGGAGTGCAAGCACCATAAGCAGGTAGTGGCTGAACACCAGTAACTTCTGGGTACGGGTAGATACGCTGAACCTTTCTTTCGCATGCAGTTCTTTCACTCTTGCATCTGGCTTGTGGGCAAATTAAATGTACAGAATTGCCGAATGTAGACACAGAAATACAAAGTAAACTGACAAGTGTCTGAATGACTGAATTCTAAATGGCTTGTTACTTCTGTGTTATATATTTATTCTAAGTCTTCGCTTCTACTTTTTATTCTAGGCTTATCCCGAAAGATCAATATTACTGTGGTGTACTGTATTTCACAGGAAGTGATATATTTAATAAGAACATGAGAACTCATGCTCTGGAAATGGGCTTCACAATCAATGAATATACAATACGTCGCTTGGGTGTTACTGGTCAGTCTGGGTCTTTGCACAGAGTATTCTTTCTAGTTACGTACTTTGTGTGATCTCCTTCAATTGGTTGCGATGTTTTGGAAATACTTCTCATAAATGCTATAGTTTATGAAATCTTTCACAGTGTCCTTTTTGGTACTGGGCACCATTACGTAAAGAAGGGGCAGGTTACTTACATACGGGCAGCTCTGTGGCATAAAGTTACCTCTTTGGGCCTCCTAATCTACTTAAAGTCTTACTGATTTAAAGATTTTTTTTCTGTGCCATGCACAAGTACACGTTTGGTTCATTAATTATCTTATTTCCTTTGACACTAATAAGAATCAGTATGTAAACCTTATCAGAATTTCTTGGAGGGTGGGGAGGTTGTTCTGGGTGGATTTTTTAGGTCTTTTACCTACAGCAGTTTTGTCATAATCTTACAATGCTTTTGGCATTTCTGAATGGTAGAAACTTTCAACCTTTCAAATAGCCTGTGTAATTTGCTTGCAGGAGTTGCTGGAGAGGCCCTGCCAGTAGAGTGTGAAAAAGACATCTTTGACTATATCCAGTGGAAATATCGAGAGCCAAAGGATCGGAGTGAATAACTAACTGCTTGTCTAGGTTTGTAGCCTAGAGAGATGTTTTCATAGCTTTTTAAGAACATGTGAAAGTGCATAGTCTTACTTTGGATGTTACTTGAAAAATTGCACATTACTGATGTTTAAAGCAAGTCCACGGCACTTGAACAGAACGTGTTGTGAAAATCATTTTCACATAATCACAGATTAATTTGGGTTGGTAGGACTCCCTAAATGTTGTGTAGTCCAGTCCCCCTGCCATGAGCAGAGCCATCTTTGACTAGAGAAGATTGCTTAGAGCCCAGTCCAATCTGACCTTGAATGTTTCTGGGGATGGTGCATCCAGCATCTCTTTGTCTCTTACATACATGCAGATAATAGAATGAAAAAGCAAGCTATATCATGAAGTACTCCTAAAGAGTACCATTTTCAACTACTGTGTGTATCTTCTTATACCTGTGTTAAGTGCTGCAGCTTATGACGAGTTGTTTTATGTACTTCTAAAATCTTTCAATATGGGCTATATGCTAAGATGGCCATTCTATTGTATGTGACCTGTGAATTTTGTTACTAGGTATGTTGTATTGATTGCTCTGTGTTTTGTTCAGCTTGTGAAGTTTGGCCTGATTAATTTATGCACTGCTACCACTCCTGTAGATTCAGTCTGCCCTTTTTTACATGCAAACCTGTCAAATCTTCCCCTTTAACTGCTGGGAAAGGTAATGGGTATTTTGGAAGTGAGATAAGATCTCTTCAAGAATGCATTACTAGTTATATTTGGGACAGGAATTCTGTTGGTTAACTTAAAACTTTGCAAAGTAGTAAACTGTTGCTTCCATGTGTTACAGAGCATGAGCATTGAATGTATTGCTGCTACTGTATTTGAATACCTTGTAGCAGTAAGGCAACTGTATTATAGAACTGCAAGCTTGAAAAGATGAGACTTTTGTATGTAGTCAAATTGACTATTGCGAACAATATAATACTTCCCTTGGTTTCTTAATGCTTAGGTTCGCTATTGGCATCTATGAGGGCAGAGAGGATTTTGTATAGTTAGACTACTTAACTTGACCTGAATCATAAAACAGACGTACCATTTCTTATTTTCATCTCACTTAAGCTTGCAGAGCAACTACATTTTTAACTTGTCCTTATATAAGGAGAGTTGATTAATCTTAGTAATGGAGATTATAGGCTGATGCTCTTACTTATCCATTTATTTTATTTTCTTTTCTTGTTAGGAGTTTTAATTATTTTCTGGGAATGTTCTCCAACGCTAATGCATGCAGTAGTATGTAATGAAAAGAGGTTAAGTTGGTACTATGTGAAGTATTTTGATGCCTCATTGTAAAAATATACATAGTTGATATATTTAGTGTTTTCTTCAGTAATCAGTAGGAATAAAAAAAATCATTATTCCATCATGAATGTGTAACGGGGTTTATTACTTTATTAGCTGTAATTTTAGAAGATCAAAAAGCATAATACGTTTGCCATGTTTACATGTTTCCTGGGCAGCACACAGCATTACACTGATGCGTTCTCCATCATCCTCAACAGGTTGCCCAGAAAACAACTTTGTCTTGTGTCAGGATGTGACACTGATGACTGGATTCTTTTCCCCAAGACTGAGAGTAAGGAGACAGAGGCTGTCTTCTCGTGTTTGGACTTGGCTGTTTATTCTTTTCTTATCTATGTTGCATATATACAGAGTACAAGGAGCTATAATACACTAAGAAAGGTGCAAAATGGCTAACGAAGAACCTTTTCAAGGTCTTTTATGTCTATTTGTCCAATTAACAAATTCCAAGTAAATTATTTTTCTTAGTGACCCAATGACCCGACACCTGTGTGCTGCACTCTGTGGCATCTTCTATCCAATCACTTATTATTACCCAAAAATCCCGAGAAGATGATGAAGAAGGAGAAAGGGACAACACCCAAAGTCCTCCATCTTGTCTCGTTTTCTAAAATAGCTTGAACCTTAAACTTTAACTTTCTCACCCAGTGACTTAAGAAAACTCCCTTAACTTACTCACTCACATTCCCAGTTTCTCTACTTAACAGCTGTCTCCCTGATGTTATGTGAAATTTTCTTTCTTGGGTGTCAGAGTCAGGTATCACAGATAAGGGCACATTTCCTGTGCCTCTGACCCCAACAGTCTTCGGCCTTGACACGGAATTTGTTGGCTTTGCAGTCTCTCTCCGTAATACTGTGAATTCTTCTATGTGAAAAAGAAAAAAAACTTCTTCAGAGAGCTTGCTTGTTTTTTTGTGAGTTATATAAATATACATTGTGTCTTTTTTTTTCCCTTCTCTCTCTCCACTCCCTGTATCTCAGTTGTCTGGCTTTTCTTCTAGAATTGTACTAGACTGCAAGATGTCTGGTAATCAAGTGAGGCAATAGCTGTGAACCTTGTCACAGGGAATCTGTGTAAGGGGGCAGTCTTGTTTGGGTGCATAGACACCCTTATTTATGTGCAGAGTAACAGTTGGGCTTTGTCAGCAATACTGGCTGCACCATTCTGTCGGTGTTTGGTTTTGTCCCAGTTGCCGAGCCTTACCTTAAGATGGGGTGGGCCTGTCTCCTTGCTTTGATTCAGGGCTATAGTGGCCTTAAGGGGTTTGTCTGTGCTCAAGTTCCAAACGGGGCTGACATGGAATTAAGGAGATTTGTTAATAAGGTAGGTAGGTAGATGAAGGGTTTGAGAGGGCCTTTAGTGTGTTCGCTGGAGTCTCATACAGACTCCGACGGGCTGGGTGAGGCAGGGCTGCCCCTTACCTCGGCACTGAATCCTTCGTCCCTCCGAAGCACAGCTTTGTACCGGCGGCCGAGCCCGGAGAAGGCCAAAGCGCGCTCCTGCGCGTGCTCCCGCGACGCCGCCAGGCCGTGACCGCGCGCGGGG